AAGATACATAAACTTTTGGAATTGACTGTATAGCCAATACATCCTTAAGTTATTTACACAATAGTTCTGAGCTATGTAAATATATTATTCGAATGAATGAAGCACAAAGAACTTCATAGAGTGTAAGTGAACAGATTTATTTTATATGCAGAAATACAATTTATTTAATCTACATATAATTGAGGAATAGAATATCATTTTAACGACACTTGTTGAACGCTCCGAGTACATGGCAAATTAGTTTCAAGTAGTATGCAGGTTCTGAAATTTCGATGGTGGCAAGGATTAAGAAGGGTTAACAGTTTTTACCGCAAGGGCGTGCCTCTCAGGAGAGGAGAGTTAAATCCAATCCCGTGGCTATATTAATAGCTCTTCTCTCGAATTGATGGACCCCCACGCAACAGGAAGGGAAAGCGACTCATATTTTATCCCCTATTGGTTCCCGTGAGAGTGGATAAACGTTTGACGGCCAGCTGAGTTTGTTCGCCTCTTCCAGTCATCTTTACGTTAAGCTCGTTCCGACAGGTTTCCGATAAAATCAGTCTAAACGACTCTTTCGAATTATTCACTTTTATAATTGGATTCACATTGAAAACTGAATTTTTTTTGGTTTAAATATTTAATATCGTCTATGAATGTATCAATACGCACATAGTCTATATATAATTGTTCTCTCTCTACGAACGATATTTAATAACATCGTTTTAAATTTCTTTAGTGCTGACTCTGTAACCTGGAATCCGCATAAACTGATGGGAGCATTACTTCAATGCTCGACGATTCATTTTAAAGAAGATGTAAGTACGCATCATCATCATTACTTTAACACCTGCCTGACTACGTAGGACTCGCTCTATTCGAGTCTCACTCGCGAAGTATCTCGTGCACCACGATGCATCATGTCCAACGAATCGACATCTCGGGATCGTGAACCTAGCGAAATTCCAGTCCCCCGGAAGGGTGACGACGCAACAGTGGCTGCATTCCGAGGGGCTAGACGTACACGTCGGAACGCAGCACTGCAGGAATTTAATTAAACTAAGAGATAACATATGTTGCCGACCGTGCCACGACGACCGAGACTCGCCCCAAGGGTTCATCCCCCCCGCATGGTTATTGCTAACTCAGAACTTCCCCTTCGGATATTAAAATTCCGTGCACCGGCTGCCACAAAACGCTCCTCGGAAGGGAGATTCTACCGAGTTCTTTCACTGTTCTTGATATCGTCATTCGTGGACAATTCTTCACAAGTCCGAACGCTTAAACAATTGTCACAATTTGCATTTAAAAATCCTTAGAATTCTTTCCAAGTGTTATTAATTCGTTTACTTTTTAAACCAAAGTCGTATTCTGTATTTTTTTTTAAGTATAATTCTAGATACATGTAACTGTTTTATGTACATTTATATTTCATAAAATAATTTGCTTCTATTAAGATTAATAGGCAGGCAATGAACGTGAAGCATTCGATTGGATGCTTTCAATCAACATTTGAATAGCAAGAATAGCAAAGCTGCCTGACTTGAATGGCGACTGGCTGGATGGCGAAATACCCGTCGCCATTTTGTAAATTCAATATCCCTCAGTTTCCCTCATCCTGCGCATGAGTTGAGTTTCCATATCGATCAGGACTCGCCTCACCGTTTGTTTTTTCTCACGCACCTATCAATCAGAAACTTTTCCGTACGGGACTCGAAATGCTCATTGTGGTCAACAGAATGCACCGGAGAGGAAAAAATGAACAGTCTGAACCGATGCTTTATTCCTAGGATGCATCCGCCTTTTTATTTTCCAGGGACTGCTGATTAGCTGCAACCAAATGTCCGCCGAGTATTTGTTCATGACGGACAAACTCTACGACGTGAAGTACGACACCGGGGATAAAGTAATTCAATGCGGACGTCACAATGACATTTTCAAGCTTTGGTTGCAATGGCGAGCCAAGGTGGGATACACAGTAAAATATGTAGAATTAAATTATAGTAGACACTATTATAAGCTATTGGAAATCTATTGAATGTTATCAAACATGAAAGTTACGTGTTGGAACGATGACATCATTTAGTAGTATTAGAAGAAAAAAGATTACTTTCTTTGCAGGGTACAGAAGGATTCGAGAAGCACATGGATCGACTGATGGAACTGACGGAGTATATGGTCAGAAAAATGAAGCAGATGCCTGACAAATATTACCTGATCCTAGAACCTGAAATGGTGAACGTCTGCTTCTGGTATCTGCCGACACGCGTGAGGAACATGCCACATGGACCGGAAAGAATCGAGATTTGTGCAAAAGTGAGATCAATTCTATTCAACGATTCAAAACCATACACATTTCCCTACACCCTATGTGCTATCTCTAATTCTCGATTGACAAAGAATTTTAAAATGCTTTTCATTTTTTATCACTCATCAGCTGCACATCTTGGGATTTTCATATAATTCTATAAAGTCTAGTTACTCATGAATCNGTCGTATTCTGTATTTTTTTTTAAGTATAATTCTAGATACATGTAACTGTTTTATGTACATTTATATTTCATAAAATAATTTGCTTCTATTAAGATTAATAGGCAGGCAATGAACGTGAAGCATTCGATTGGATGCTTTCAATCAACATTTGAATAGCAAGAATAGCAAAGCTGCCTGACTTGAATGGCGACTGGCTGGATGGCGAAATACCCGTCGCCATTTTGTAAATTCAATATCCCTCAGTTTCCCTCATCCTGCGCATGAGTTGAGTTTCCATATCGATCAGGACTCGCCTCACCGTTTGTTTTTTCTCACGCACCTATCAATCAGAAACTTTTCCGTACGGGACTCGAAATGCTCATTGTGGTCAACAGAATGCACCGGAGAGGAAAAAATGAACAGTCTGAACCGATGCTTTATTCCTAGGATGCATCCGCCTTTTTATTTTCCAGGGACTGCTGATTAGCTGCAACCAAATGTCCGCCGAGTATTTGTTCATGACGGACAAACTCTACGACGTGAAGTACGACACCGGGGATAAAGTAATTCAATGCGGACGTCACAATGACATTTTCAAGCTTTGGTTGCAATGGCGAGCCAAGGTGGGATACACAGTAAAATATGTAGAATTAAATTATAGTAGACACTATTATAAGCTATTGGAAATCTATTGAATGTTATCAAACATGAAAGTTACGTGTTGGAACGATGACATCATTTAGTAGTATTAGAAGAAAAAAGATTACTTTCTTTGCAGGGTACAGAAGGATTCGAGAAGCACATGGATCGACTGATGGAACTGACGGAGTATATGGTCAGAAAAATGAAGCAGATGCCTGACAAATATTACCTGATCCTAGAACCTGAAATGGTGAACGTCTGCTTCTGGTATCTGCCGACACGCGTGAGGAACATGCCACATGGACCGGAAAGAATCGAGATTTGTGCAAAAGTGAGATCAATTCTATTCAACGATTCAAAACCATACACATTTCCCTACACCCTATGTGCTATCTCTAATTCTCGATTGACAAAGAATTTTAAAATGCTTTTCATTTTTTATCACTCATCAGCTGCACATCTTGGGATTTTCATATAATTCTATAAAGTCTAGTTACTCATGAATCAGTGGACAATAATTTGTTCGCAGATTTGTCCTATTTTGAAGGGGCGAATGATGCAATCCGGTACTCTAATGGTGGGATATCAGCCGGACGACCGCCGACCGAACTTCTTCAGGAATATCATTTCGAGTGCCGCGGTCACGGAAGCCGACGTGGACTTTTTACTGTCCGAGATGGACCGGTTAGGCCACGATCTGTAAGAAACCTGCCCGTTCTAATTAGTTGTACATTCAGCTGCTCTTCATTGTGGCCGAATATACCGCGACGTCCTGTCGAAAGTCATTCCTGTTGATATTAGAGATTTCATTAACGAGCGAGGAAACCGCGTCGTGTCATTACGTGTACAAAATCCGGAGGCCAAGTACTAGAATCATGCAATTATGATTAACAACTTAAGCAACTAACACTGATTCTTATCATCTGTTCAACAGAGCAAGGAAAGCATACGGTATTTCGTTGATGTTTCCTTCTACCATTTTCAATGTTCATTTTCATTATTTTTGCTGAGGTAACATGCTTTTAGAAATTTATGCTCAGATTTATTTTAATTTGTAATATACAAGTCTACATTTTTCATATTTCTTTTAACTCTCTTTTGTGTTAACATTTTTTAAATGTTCATGAAGTTGACGGAAGATGAGAGTCAGTCACGGGGTTTATTACTCGTAGTACGAAAAAGCGCTTCTTCGTTATATGTATGTATTAAAAATTAAAACAGCAGCTGAAGATCAAAGGATACTCATAGCAAGTAAGTTCTTTAGGTGTAAGCGTACATCCGTGAAACGAAGAGCAAAGTTACAAAAGCTCTAGCGAATGCTTCCGGCCGTAAATGTTACTAGAGTTCTCATTCTTCAGCGCTATATGTACTCGCTAGAGGGAGGGAGAGAATACGAACGAATAGCAACGACGCGTTATCGCCGTCACAAATCAAAGCAATAGCACTTACAAATATAGTTAATTGAGCTTATAGCGATCAGGTTCTGTTTCAATTGACTTTAATTTCTTGATCGAGATGCGATGCATCCCAATGGCTGGCACTGTTTCATTCGAAACATAATCGAACGTGTCGTAGAAAACGAAATTGATCTCAATCACATTAATAAAATTACGTAAGTTTCATAAGAGACAACTTGCAAGGACTTTCATGAAAATTTGAGATTAAAGCAAATGAATTCGTTCAATAAGGACGAGATAGATGTACAAAATATTTTTACTTCGAATGGTACACTACGAGGTAACATAGGGAATAAAAACGATATTGATCCTGATTTATCTTTATTGGTAGAGGAACGCGATCAATGTTGTGCATTAATTTAATGAAAGTTTAAACGAATTTGTTGTTTATTAATTGTTTGCAAATTAATATGGTAAAAGGAAGAATGACCTGCATCCATTATTCATATACAAATGTACGTATGTTATTATTTAATATCGGAGAATTTCACCGAATGGAGAGTAATATTTATTAATGATATATATAAATAATAGGAAATTCAAAAAAAAGTATAAATGTATTTAAAAAAAAGTATAAATATATGAAGAACAAAGCGTATATTATATATAAATATATATATTTAGCGTTGAGATTTTAAAATACAAAACACAAACCCATGAAAGTACATGCTTTTTCAAGTATTCGTGCGAACGGTTGTCATTTAGTTCGTCGATTACCTTTATACACTGTTAAAAATTGATCTAGTTAAACAGTGAATTCTTCTTCATACTTAGTTATCCATAGTTTTTGAACGTTTTTCGTCTTACACGATACTTTCTAGAAAAAACACTATCGATCATTAGCCATTTCTCATATATTGATTCGTTTCAATGAAACGTGACGAAAGGGGAGTAACAAAATCTGTGTATAAAAGATTGTTTTTAAATAAAAATTTACAATATTTTTGCTCTTACAAAGAACGACGAAAAAATTTCAATCAGTTCCACAAGAAAATAAAAAACACACAAAAGCCGAACGACTCTATATAGATTTTTCGAATCACTCGCCACTGAGGAAAACAAAAAGGGATACGCCTAAACATAAGTAAATAAAGAAGGAAAGATAGCTGGTATATTTATAACGGGGAACGTAAACTATATTTATTGTGAATCTACGAATTTACCTAACGTTCTCTTTTCCCGTCTATGTCTACCGAGCCACCGAGTATGTCTTGATTCATTTACAAGTGATTCAAAACGAAAGAAAAATAAAATTAATGGGAATAAAGAACAACATTATCAGACGGGAAAATAAAGGGAAAGGGGCCGATGCAATATCTACGGTTCAATTTAATTCGTAGAACATAATATTCCTGCTACATGTGATTATTGTAAACTGTTAATTGTATCTATTCAAAGTTGATGGAATAACAAAATTTGCGCATTTCAAATGAAATCGAATGAAGTCACAGTGCATTATACAATAGAAGAAGGCAATGGGAATTGTATTTTTGAAAAAGAATGGGGAGAAATGAAGCGAATGAAAGAGGAGATAAGATAAATCCATTCATATGACCACGATTACCGATACCTCCAAAGAAGACACTCTATCGAAAACGTTGTTGTTAATTATCTCCAATTTTATCGACGTTATACCATTTTTTTAATCACCAGTCGTTGGTACTACCAATTGAATGGCTGATTTTATTTAGTCAATTCACTTGTATTCTACTATAACTAAAACATATAAAAAAAGGATTATAAAGCTCATTCACGAGTATACATACACATACATATATGCGTACACAGATTTAGAAAGAGGTAATATATTTATACAGTCAATAAATCTATACAATGACACTCTAAAGTAGAGAACTATAAAGTCTTTAATTTACATACGCATGTACTTATGTACGTATGAACTTCACGATTGTAGAAATTCAAAATCATTATCGATATTAATAATTAAGAATATACGTTTACTATATCGATGCCATTAAATAACGACGGATTTGTATATTTTTCTTGTGTCCATTTCCTTCTGAATAATCGACGATTTGTAAATAAAGAATGGGATACGTTTCCGCCGATATTTGTTACGCGTGCTTAGGAATTATTTATTGTTACTTATGCTGATGTATATTATTGTTACTCACCGCACGATTTCGTAGATTGTTATGCACCTTTAAGTATACCCGTGCACCTTGTTCGTTAACTATGAAACACTTTAAACTCTCACGTTATTTGCACGATGCACTACTGCACTCTTCTGATGCACTGCAAAACGGATTATATGTAAAATATGTAAGAATTCGTTTAATTAAACTATTTAGTAGAGCATCAGCGAAATTGGCAGAAGCATGATTAACGCTGGTCAATTCTTTCCTTGTGATTTATCAAATTGACCCGGGGTGACCCTCGCCGGCCCTGACCTCATCATCGTTAATTATTAGTCTAAGTTTGAGTAAGGAGAACAACAACAAAGTCCCACGGTCTTCCAAAAAAGAAGAAGGAGATGTAAACTAGAGAGTGTTATCGAGATTTAGAAATACACCGAGTTGCATCACCGCAACTATCCTCATACAGTGTGTACGTAATTGAACAAACAAAGAAAGAACAAGAATACATTTATAAATACAAATAGGTGAGATGATGACAATTATATATAAATATGTGTATGTATGTACACGTGTGCGGAAAACTCTCCTGGCGACAATACGAACGAACGAACGAACATGGATTATTGTAAAGATGATGTTATGGCAACTGGTTGCTGGTACGTCACGATCTTGTTATACGACAAGTACCGTTTATCCACCTAATTGACCCTATTATCCACTGTATATCAATGTCTAATAAACTGCTGTTATCCCAAATTGTCAATACATGTTACGTGAAAGTTTCTGGATCTGCTGTGATTTTCTTTGCCCCTCCTACATTCCATTAGAGAAAAACATCGGAATTTCTTCAATAATATCATAATTTTTTAAAACATCTCGTACTTTGACAACATAACATTATTTCTCTAACTCTACGTGATTTTATTTTTTATTTCAAGTGCGAATCAAATATTTCAAAATTGATGAATGAAATTCACGACGAATCAACAAAATAATGTAGAACGGTATTGAGCTAAACCATTGCTTTGCATTAAAAATGGGAAATTATATGAATATGGAAATAAGAAAAACACGTGGATAGGTGCGGCATTTTATTAATTCCCCCAAGCTGAGAGAGCAAGGTACGAAAAATTGGGAACCAGTCAGACCGGAGGCTAGTTCGTAAACAGGTGAATAAATTATTCTCAGCGGCCGGTTGACCTCGACGAGCCTCCGCGCATTATCATACACGTGATTATCATCGTCGGGAACAGTTCCAAAGTAACATTTCAGATCAGTCGTTCAAAACATTCGTGATCATGAAGTCATTCGTAGAATACTACTCAGATTGTGATTTTCCAATTGAAAATCTTCCTTACGGCGTCTTTTCTACGAAGAGTAATGTAAGTAATGCAACGCAATCGTATGTTATAGATGTATGAAAC